ACAGCAAGCACCAGGCCTGCATGGGTCCACACTATATATTAGGAGAGAGCCCATGAGTTTTCCTCTGTCCTCTACATAGGCTTAAAGGCATATGCAGGTATGCAGGTGACCCATACACAAATGACAAAAACAAAAATTGTTATTCTGTGCTTGCTTGTATGTATGTTTGTGTACCAAATGACTGCCTGGTGGATTCAGAAGCCAGTCTCTGCACCTGCACCCTGGAATTAGTTACAGGCATTTATGGGCCACTAGGTGGGTATAGGAAACTGAACCCAGGTCCTGTGCAAGAGCAGCAAGTGTTCTTAACCATTGGAAAATCTCTCCAGTCTCATTTTTTTTTAAGAATATAATATTCTCAGAAATGTTTCTGCTGTCACAAACTATTACACAGCCATCAAGCTCACCTGGCTTCTCTCTAGCCTCAGCCAGCGTACATCCCATCACCATTATGCTACGTGCTGTTTGCTCTGCTGCTAAGCTATAGCTGGCACACTATTCTGAGGCGCCTACACCCTGCCTCCACCTCAACCCTGCTAGTATCCAGTTAGCTATGTGCCATTCCCATGAGTCACATATGTTAGGTAGAGTTTGAGGTTCACTGGGTGACATACTGCTACAAGTCAAACACCGGATGATTCAAACTGCATGAATGGGTGTGCATGCTACCTTGTGGATACACAGATAAGCTATCACCTAGGAGATGGGCTTCTGGGCAAATCTGGGGGCGATTATCTGAACTGTGTTGTGGCGGCAAGAAAGGTATACTGGGGATGGTACCTTTCCTTGGATGGGATCAAGTTAAAGAAAGCTGAGCAGTAACAAGTATCTAATATTCTGCTTTCTGATGTCAGTGAATACAACATTACCATCTGCCAAAGCTTCTACAACCTTGACTTCCCCATTATGTCCTTGAAATGTCAGCCAGAATAAACTTCCTTTATTAAATCGCCTTTGCTGAGCTGGAGAGATGGCTCAGAGGTTTAAGAGCACTGACTGTTCTTCTGGGAGTTCAATTCCCAGCACCCACATGGCAGCTCACAACTGTCTGTAACTCCTGTTGCAGATCTGACACACTTACACAGATATACATGCAGGGAAAACACCAATGCACATAAAGTAAAAATAAGTAAATTTTAAAATAAGTAAATTGATTTCACCAGAGAATTTTATCACGGCAATGGGGAAAGAAGCTGAGATGACATTACTAAGGACAAAGCAAGCCTCCATAAGGAAATCTACCCCTGCATCACCGGGGAATCCCCATTCCAAAGGAACCAAGCCCCCCAAAAGTGCAAACACCACAGTAGGTGTCCCAGGCATTTGTGGGCATTGCTATCAAGTTACCTGGAAATGTTAGTAACATTGTTGAACAAACTCCTCTTTGAGTATCAAACCATGTAATAGCAACTTGAATTTTAAGTCAAAGGAAAATAAGTTTGAACTGAAAAAATAAAAACATTACTGTGGGGAAAATGTAATTTTTTTTTCTCTTAGTTTTTCGAGATAGGGTTTCTCTGTGCTGTCCTAACCAGGATTAAAGGTGTGCACCACCATTGCCCAGCAGGAAGTTTTAATCCTGATGGGGAACCGGACACATGTGCATCCATAAGGACCCATTATCCTCTCCAGAGGACCCAGGTGCTCTGCTGGTTATAAATTCCTTGTAGTTCCTTGACCTGTGATTTTTCAGGTAAAAACCTAAGTCAAGAGATCTTTGAGGTTTTCTTTGTTGTTGCTGTTAGGTTTTGTTGTTTGCTTGCTTGCTTGCTTGCTTGTTTGTCTAAAGTGTAGTGACTGCCAGTCAAGCCTCTCCAACAGTGGCAACACAGGCCTGAGCCTTAGAGACTCTTATACAGATGGAGAAAAACATCCCAGAGAAGCTGTGTCCTTTCCCTGGTTTTTTTTTTTTTTTTTCAAAGAGAAGATTCTACTTTTTACAAAGCCTACTGACAAACTCCAGTTCTTCATTTGATGTATCAGAAACCTTTGCAAACCTAAATGTTGTTATGGCTTTTTCATTTTCTTTTCTATAAATTTTTGTTTAAGTTAGAAACAATCGTTTTTTACATACCAATCCCAGTTACCTCTCCCTCCCGTCTCCTCCCATGCCCCGCACCAAACCTCCATCCCACCCTCCATCCACTCACTCCCCAGGGAGGGTGAGGCCTTCCATGAGGGATCATCAAAGTCTGTCACCTCATTTGGGGCAGGGCCTAGGCCCTCCCCCATGTATCTAGGCTGAGAGAGTATCCCTCCATAGGGAATGGACTCCCAAAGTCCATTCATGCACTAGGCATAAATATTGGTTCCACTACCAGAGGCTCCACAGACTGCCCAGGCCTCCCAACTGACAACCACTTTCAGGGGGCCTGGTTCGGTCCTATGCTGGTTCTCCAGCTGTCAGACTGGGGTCCGTGAGTTCCCATTTGCTTAGGTCAGCTGCTTCTGTGAGTTTCCCCAGTATGGTCTTGACCCCTTTGCTCATCTCCCCTCCCTCTCTACAACTGGATTCCAGTAGTTCAGCTTAGTGCTTAGCTGTGAATCTCTGCTTCTGCTCCTGGGTGAAGGCTCTAGGATGGCATATAGGTAGTCATCAATCTCATTGTAAGGGAAGGGCATTTAAGGTAGCCTCTCCACTATTGCTTAGATTCTTAGTTGGTGTCATCCTTGTGGATCCCTGGACATTTCCCTAGTGCCTGATTTCTCTTTAAACCTATAATGGCTCCCTCTATTAAGGTATCTCTTTTCTTGCTCTCCTTCTCTATTCTTCCCAGACTCAATCTTCCTGATCCCTCATGTTCTCCTCCCCCCAACCCCCAATCTGCTCAGATCTTGTCCCTTTCCCCTTCTTCAGCTGACCATATGTCTCTCTTAGGATCCTCCTTGTTTCCTAGCTTCTCTGGGGTTGTAGACTGTAAGCTTGGTAATCCTTTACTCTATGTCTAATATCCACTTATGAGTGAGTACATACCATGTTCGTCTTTCTGTGACTGGGTTACCTCACTCAGGATGGTTTCTTCTAGTTCCATCCATTTGCCTGCAAATTTCAAGATTTCGTTTTTTTTTTTTATACTGAGTAAGTACTCCAATTTGTAAATGTATCACATTTTCTTTATCTATTCTTCAGTTGAGTGGCATCTAGGTTGCTTCCAGGTTCTGGCTATTACAAATAATGCTTCATTTTCTTTTAGAAACCTTTCCTGCTCTGACATTGTCCTAAGAGTTATTATCATATTACATTAAAAATTCTCTTTATAAAGAGGAGGAAAGAGATTAATGGACTACATGTGACATGAAAGCACAACTATTTGAGAGGGTGAACGGGTGATGGAGATCAGCAAAAAGGGGACAGGGGGAAATGTGGAAAGGGGTAAGACCACAGCATGGCATATATAGAACATTACCCTGAAACCTATTATCCTCTGTAACTAACCTAAGCAACAGAGCTCCACTTCCCACTCTTCTAATTGAGACAATATTACCAGATTCTCCCCCTTACCCTTTCCCAAATATTTTTAAAAATTAATTAGCCAATCCTCTAGTGCAATCTTTAAGCGAGTGGCCCAACTCCAAGACATGCATAGCCACCATTTCTCAGTAACCAGTAGCTTTGAGTAGTTTATAAAACATAAATAAATCTTGTTTTCCATTCACACTAATCACATTTTGAATGCTGAACCGATGGCTCCTTCATTGTACAACACAAGTACATCACCATCATCTCCAAGTTTATCGAATGAAGCTATTAGCAATAGCTTCCATTTTGTTTTTAAAATACTTATTATTTATTTGAGTATGGCAACCATACCAAAGCACATGAATGGTCAGAAGATAATTTCAGAGTTGGTTGTCATTTCTGCTGCTCTGCATACTCCAGGCTAGATGGCTTGTGAGCTCTGTCTCTGCTTCCTGTCTACACACTGAAGTGTGCTGAGACTGCAGACCTACCTTGTCTTAAAAGCATGAGTTCCATTAACTGGGCATATAGGAAGCAGAGGCAGGTGGATCCCTAAATCCGAGGCCAGCCTGGTCTATATAGAGTTCCAGGACAGCCAGACAGAAAAACCTTGTCTTGCACTGGAATTACAAATGTGCACCTCTACACTTGGTTTGTGCAGCTGGGGATAAACCAGGGCTTTGTGCATGCTAAGCTCAACCGAGTTACATCCCCAACCCAATATCAAGTTCCTTTTTTAAGCACTTAGTTCAGACACAGTAGTCTTTCTCATCACAGAATACTAAGACACGCTTTACCTCAATACTGGAGAGAGAAAAATCAAAGTTCTCTAAGAAAATGTACCTAAAATCATCCTTTAAAGGTCAATATTGGGGCTGGTGACATGATTCAACAGGCAGGACTCTTGCTGCCAAGCCTGGCAACCCATCCCTGTGACCCAAAAGGTGGAAGAACTGACTCTCTCACAAGTTGACCTCTGGCATTCACACACACAAGTAAGGATGATAAAAATAAAGGTCGGTAATGTTCTTTGTTGTCAAGTTACATAGAAATACTTACCCGTCAGAACATATTCTAACCCTATGCTCCTTGCTTTCCTAGCAATGCCTCTTGTCCTTTGGTATTTACACACTGTGCATATAGTTTCCAAACTTCAGCTACCCTTGTGTTTCTCGCTGCACTTGCACCTCTCACCACTTTGCTTCTGAGGACTATCCCTACCAACCACCCTCTACCTATTGCTTGGAACATTCAAAAAGAATATGACTATACCAGTTAGACAAGCCTTTACCTGGCTAATCAAATTCACTCGGGGAAGCTTTAGGAAAGTAGACGCTTCACTCAAAAAATACTACTTAGTAAGAATATGCAAACATGAAAATCAACAGTGCTCACAATGATCCTGAAAATCAGATCAACAGACATTCAGCTCCTAATAAAAGTCATTTCCCACTTATACAACAGTGAAATAATAAAATACTATAGAAACAGACACATTTTCTACAAACTGGATACACTGAATTTTCCACAATAGACCATGTTCAATAAGAAATTGAAGTTTATTTAATATACACAAGTCACATCTTGACACTGAGAAAATGAAAATGCTATTTACATAAAACAGATTAAAAATACATACTATCTGTATTTTAATGTGGTAATAGCCCCTAGGATTCAAACCTGGATTCCAGCACTTGCATCTTGTAGTTAATTTACCAGGAGCTGTAGTGCAGGGCAAAGTTGGCAGTGTACCTCACACTTCATGTACATGGTTTGGCATCAGTGGAGGAAGACACAGTCTCTTCAGCACATGTGCTAGTTTCTGAGTCTTCCACTTCAGAATCCTCAACAGTTTCCAATTCGGAATCAAATTCCTGACTATCCGGTGATTCGAAGCTATCCAGAGGTTCATGACTCAGCCTCTATTAAGGAACAAATCAGCAATTTATTGTAAAGATCTTGAAACTGAAATCCACTATTAATCAGTACACTGATAAGGCAACACACCAATGTTATAATACCCCCAATAAATCATTTACACTGTTCTATCAAAGTCTATTCAGTGCTACATCATATTTCAGCCAAATCCAGTTAGTAATTTGCCAGGTTTTTTTAATGCCCTGACTGAGCTGCTTGCAAAGCACAACTTAAATTGGTACTTCTAGGAAACCACAGACCATGAGTTCTTACTCTCCAGCCAGCTGGGGACCACATGTTAAAAGCCAACAGAGAGGGCTAGTTAAGTACTTCAAACTTTGTCATGGCATGGCTGGAGAGATGCCTCAGTGGTTAAGGGCCTGCACTGTTCCTCCAGAGGACCAGAGTTCTATTCCTAGCACCCACGCCAGGTGCCTGTAACTCTAGCTCCAGGCCATACTTACACATAATTAAAAATAGTAAAACAACATTGTCATGGCTCTAAAATGTTAAGGGAGCAATTTAATGTGAGACAGTTTGATGTGAAAAGGTTTCCTCCCATTAGTAAAATGGATTTGCTTTGTAAATATAAAAAAGGCTGAAAGCATTTATCAAGCCAAGCCTGATAGTCACAAAAATCAAGCTGACTTTTAGAAACACATACTACCCAAGTTTAAAAAGTCAGATAAGACTATTTGTTTTGTAAATGATAGCTGATAACATGCTTACAAAACTAGAATCTAGAAATGTGTCAACCATGGGATGGAGTAACTTTTCTCATCTTTTTCAGATGTGCACTTATTACTACCATTTTATAGGTAAGGAAAATAAAACCCTGACAGGATTAATAAGCTACTCTATCTAAGAAACTCAATGGTGCTGGGAATCTCATTACAGAGCTGAATACTCTCTGACCACAACACTGCCTCGATGACTCTGAACCTAATGAATATGGAATTACCTACCTCAATTACCTCTGCCATGTACTGTACGTGTTCTGCTACTTCTGCCAATTCCTTATTCTCCTTTTTCAGGCGGGCAATTTCACTGTCCTTCTGTTCAATTTCTTTATGAAGCTATATAACAAAAATAGAGTTCAGTATTCCATAAATCTGCTCTGAATTTGCCAAGCAGATCATTGACAAACCCATGCAGTAACTAACACAGCAGGATCATTTTGCTCATATAGTCAAACTTCCATTAGACCAACAATCAAGCTAGTCTACACCAGTCCAACTATGCTGAAGCGAGAAGGAACACCAGTAGAACCCTCTAAATAGTAAGAATTCAATACATACTTTCTCGTTTTCTTTAAGTGCTTCATAGAGAGCTTTCCTCCGTTTTTCTGCCACTTCTTTCCAATACTGAGAAGATGGGTTTTCTGGAATAAATCAGTGTTTTACATAACTTTAAATAAAAATCAGTGCTAAAACCCTGTCTGAGACCAGCCTAGACTGCATAACAAGTCCTTATTTCAAAAACACAAAATTTTTGCTATAAAAACCTCAGCAATTTATTTTTTTTTAAGATTTATTTATTTATTTATCATGTATACAGTGCATGCCAGAAGAGGGCACCAGACCACATTACAGGTGGTTGTGAGCCACCATGTGGTTGCTGGGAATTGAACCCAGAACCTCTGGAAGAACAGTCAGTGCTCTTAACCCCTGAGCCATCTCTCCAGCCCCAGTAATTTATTTCTATTGAAAATTTTTCAATCTACTTTTTATTTTTTTCCCAACATATCAAAGTTCTCAATCCTTAAAAATAATTGCAACAGAAGGAAAATAAGTGCATATGTATTTCCTATACAGTTTAACATTTTACAAGATTTGTTTTGGGCTTATGCATTTTTATTTGACCTTTATGGGGGACAGGGACTCTACAACCATTGAGATATATATATATATATGCACTCTCAGCCCAAATATTGTTACTTTTGAGAAGTCTGGACTAGTTAATTTGCATATAGTTCTTAATTTTGAATTTACTTCAAACTCAACATTTTTGGCAGGAATATTGCATAAATGCATTGTGTCTTCAGGGATTTTATCAGGCAGTACACACCAATCTGTTACAATATTGAATATAAAATTTGATCATTTGATTTGGCTGCCATATGCTAAATTTCTCCCTTGTAAAGATTGATTTCCTTGGTAAATAATAAGAGATCTAGGGAGTAAAATTTGAGTTTGTTAATATGTTCCCCAACCAATTTTAACTGTATTGGTGATTCTTGCCTAAATTTTCTATAATATAGAGTAGATGTGATTTTTTTTTTTTTTTTTTTTTTTTGTGACAAAGGTTTCTCTGGGCTTCGGAGGCTGTCCTGGAACTAGCTCTTATAGGCCAGGCTGGGCTCGAACTCACAGTGATCCACCTGCCTCTGCCTCCCGAGTGCTGGGATCAAAGGTGTGTGCCACCAACACCTGGCTGTGGATGTGATTTTGAAAGCAATTCTCCCTATTCCATTTTCTCTTAATTTATCATTACAGGTTCATTACTATACCAAAAGTAATTCTATGTCTTCTCATGGTTTTTATTTTGAGACATGTGTCCCAGTCTGGCCTTGAACTTGACAAACAGTTGAGAATAACTTTGGAGTGACCCTCCTACCTTTACCTTCGTTTTTTTTTTTTTTTTTTTTTTTTTTTGAGACAGGGTTTCTCTGTGGCTTTGGAGGCTGTCCTGGAACTAGCTCTTGTAGACCAGGCTGGTCTCGAACTCACAGAGATTTGCCTGCCTCTGCCTCCCGAGTGCTGGGACTAATGGCGTGTGCTACCACCACCCGGCTTACCTTTACCTCTGAAGAACATGCATTACAAGTGTGTGCCACCCTTCCCGGCTTTATGAGTAGCCATTCTTGCCACTATTCATTTTGATGCTGAAATTTCCCCACATTTAATCAGTGTGAATCTCCTCAAATAGAGTCTGTCCCTTAATCATGTCCAATACTTTTTGCTTATTTTCTGATATGAGACATGAGGATCACTCTGTAGTATACTGGACACTGGAATGCTGGAGTCAGCCATTTCCTCAAAAGCTTCAGTGCAGAACAGTGTTTACATACCAAGAACTGGATATCTGCTGTGCTTCTTGCTTTTGATGGAGGGCTTTTTAATAATCAATTTATACTAATTAATACTCTCAACCAATTCAACAATCCATTCTTTCCTTCTCCGTTCCACATTTGTACATCCATTCACCCTGTTAAGAACTTGCCTCCCAACACCAACATATTACTCATTTGCTCCATCCTAAAATATATAAAAAGATTTTTCTTTTCACAAGTACACCAATGTACTACCAACAACAGATTTAACAAAATTCGGGTACTCTATGTGGGTTTTTTAATTCTAATGATATATCCCACTGAAGTCTCAAGTCACAGTTATACTTGTTCTTTCTATGACTAAGAATGTCTAGGATCCCAGCACTCGGGAGGCAGAGGCAGGAGGATCTCTGTGAGTTCAAGGCCAGCCTGGTCTCCAGATCGAGTGCCAGGATAGGCTCCAAAGCTACACAGAGAAACCCTGTCTCAAAAAACCAAAAAAAAAAAAGAATGTCTAGGATCACTGATTGACTGTACGAGTAATATTTCTGACATGTGTATAGAACTAACCTTTAGCTGATTTTAACCTAATCAGGTACAAACATTACAAGTCCTGTTCCATAAACATTACAAAACTGCTGTGATTCTATCCAGTAGACCAACCATTTGCGATTTTGTTCTGTAAAAGTACTTTCTGCTTCTAAACTTCCTTACAACACTCCAGGCAACTCACAACAAACCCAAACATTCCTGTGACTGTGACCTTGAGCAAGCCAATGAACTTCTCTAGACTCTAATTTCTCATGACCTCTGACCAATACAGAGGAAAAGTCTCCCCATGAGCCAGGTGTGGCAGTTCAAGACTCTTCAGTGAGGCAGGACTGACTGATTTCAAGGCTAGGTTGGAGCTACCTATACAGTGAGTTCTAGGACAGTCTGGGCTACAGAATAAGACCATTTCACAATATAAAACATCATCAGTTTTCTTGTCTGATTTCTACTACTCCACCATTAAAAACTAACACTTACTAAAAGTGTATTTCAGCCGGGAGATGGTGGCACACACTTTAATCCCAGCACTAAGGAGGCAGATCTCTGAGTGCAAGATCAGGTGATCTACAGAGTGAGTTCTAGGACATCTAGGTCTATACAGAGAAACCCTGTCTCCAAAACAACAAAAGTGTATTTCTCATTCACCTTTATCCCCCTTCCCCCAGGGATGCTCCTATTGGTCCTATCACTTTGTGTTCTCTTGGAATATTCAAATACTTTGTTACCACTTTTCTTCTGAAAAGCCCATTTCCAAGTCTTGTAAATCCCAAAGCAATTTACCCTCACAGATACCAATTTAGTCACTGTCCTGTTCTTTAATACTTCACCCTCACTGGGATCTTACCAAACAAATGCTTCCATGTGTCCAAATTTAGAGTATTTGCCTATTTATAATACAAAATTTTAAATTACCAAACAGTAACCCCACCAAATAATCCACCTTCATCAAAATTTAAACTTTCAAGACAAGCCATTTTACTTTTTTCATACCTTTAATCATAAGATCAAATGCTTCCTGGGTGACATCTCCAACATCTTTATTTTCACAAGCTTCTGGACCAGAGCTTGAAGTCTTAGATGTTAACTGGTCATTCCAAAGCTTCCTTTTGGACAAGCCTTTTGGTGACTGTGATGGAAAAGCTTATTTACTTAGATTTGTTGAACAAGAAAGCTACATTGCTCAGTTATTTATGTATTTAAGAACTTTTTTTTTTTTTAAAGTTATACAAATCAAAACTACCAAAATAGGGGCTGGTGAGATGGCTCATCAAATAAAGGTACTTGCTGTCAAGGCTGACAACCTGCATTCAATCCTGGGACCTGTACAGTGACAGAAGCAGATTCCTGAAAGCTGTCCTATGACTTTAATTGTGTACTGTGGCACTTACATGCTCCAAAGTCCATGCAAACACATACACACCCACACACAAAATAAATAGTTATATTGCTTTTCAGATTTTATTTGTAATTACATTTTCATGTCTGTGTATGGGTTTATGGATTTGAGTGCATTCCTTGGCCAGAAAAAGAGTGTCCCTTTAAGTAAGAGCTACAGGTATTTGTGAGCTGCCTGACATGGGTACTGGGAACTGAACTCAGGTCTTCTGGAAGAGTGGTATGTGCTCTTAGCCCCAGAGCTATCTCTTCAGCCCATAAATGTAATTAAGTTTAGCTACAACTAAAACAAATTAGTATTTAAAAAAATCTGGGAAATGTTTAATGCTGACTGACCATCACCCATTCTAGGCTAGCCCTGCACACATACCTCATTTTCTCTGCCAACAAGAGATCCAGTTGCAGAGGGTTGAATCATCTTCAGCGTTCTCCTTGGGACAGGACTGTTCTAAAAGTCAAGAGATTCATTATCTAATTACTACATATGATTACTTTCAAAGTTTCTAAATAGTTTGTCTTACTATAGTTTGAGAGTTAAAAAAAAAAAAAAAAAAACTAAGAACACAAGATTTGGCCTGATATTTATCTTAAGATGCTGTATCAGAATAAGATGTCTTAATCAACTAGCAAACTTATTTCCCAAGATTATAATAAATTTTGAAGAAATCATTAAGAATGAGTGGGCCATACCACCCAACCCAGACACACACAGTAACTTTTCTCGAATTCTAGTACATATTCTTGCTGTAATCATTGTCAACCCATCTCATTTAGTTAAAACACACATAACACACTTTCTATGGTGGCACTGATAGTTCAAATGATGTATGACAAATTTTCAATTAAAAAATGACTAACTCTAGGGCTGGAGAGATGGCTCAGCCGTTAAAAGGCTAGGCTCACAACCAAAAAATGACTAACTCTATTCTTTAAAAAAAAAAAAAAAAATCTTCCAAACTGGGAACTTACACTCTACTTACAAAAAAGGTAAACACGGAGAGAAAAGGCTAGTTACTCCACAAAATATTTTCCTCTAGTCAAAAAGACTCATTTCAGAAGTCTAAATATTCCCAAACATTATGGGCATTTGTGAAAACAAAAACCTGCTGGTTGGTTTTTGTCAAAAGCCAGGACATATCTGGTAAGAGGTAATCTCAGCTGATCAAAGAATGACCTATAGACAAGCATGGGAGCATTTCTAGGTTGAAGACTCAGCTGCTGCCAGTGTCATCCCTGGGCGGGTGTACTGTGGTACATAAGAAAGCAAACTGAGCAAGCAAGCAGGTAAGGAGCATTCCTCCATGGCCTACGCTTCAGTTCCTGCCTCCTGCCTTTCGTTCCCTCCTGATCTCCCTCAGTGTTGGACTGTCACCAGCAAGCTGGGAGCTCAAATAAACTTTCTCCACTCCAGGTTGATTTTGGTCATAGTGGTTTTTGTTGTTGTTGTTTTGGTTTTTTTGAGACAGGGTTTCTCTGTGTAGCCCTGGATGTCCTTGAACTCTATAGACCAGGCTGGCCTCCAATTCAGAGATCTGCCCTCCTCTGCCTCCTCAGTGCTGGCATTAAAGATGTGCACTACCACCATCTGGCTTGGTTATGGTGTTTTGTCACAGAAATACAAACCCTAATACAGAAATATTTACTTATATGCACACACACACACACACACACACACACACACACACATAAATCAGAGGACAACTTGCAAGTCTGTTCTCTCCTTTCACCATATGTATTCCACAGATTCGACTCAAGTCATCAAGCTTGGCTACAGCATCTCACAGGCCCAGGAATATAATTTTTACTTATTTATTTATTAAAGACAGGGTCTTTCTATATAGCCCTGGCTGGCCTTGAACTCACAGAGATTCACCTGCTTCTACCTCCCAAGTGCTGGAACTAAAGACTTGTACTACTACTCGTAGCGCCAGAAATATAATTTTTAGGAACACATTGTAGGTAGAAGCAATTGCATGTGTATGTAATGGATAGCCCCTCCTCAACTATCACCTGACAACAGACGTAGTTTTGCTACAAGTCCATTCACTAGGACACTGATAAAATGTCTGCTTTAAATAAATTAAAACACTCTGGCCCACGTGGTAGCACAAACCTGTAATCCCAGCACTTGGTAGACAGAGGCAGGTGGAGCTCTCTGAGTTCAAGTCTAGCCTGAGGTCTACTTAGTGTGTCACACTAGCCAGGGCCCCATATTGAGACCCTACCTCAAAAAAACAAACAAATAAGTGAACAGTAACAATAAAAATAAGTCATCCAGGGTGGCACACTCATTTAATACCAGTACCCAGGGGGCAGAAGCAGATGGATTTCTGAGTTTCAGGCTAGCCAAAACAAATCCCCCAACAAATAACCCTCTAAAATCCTCAAACTACTGTCTTAAAAACAAAAAAGTGTGTCTTCTGTATAATATGCAAACAGCCCCTATATATTTCCTGATTTATAAGTTCTATTAAAAAAAAATCATTAGTTATACTGTCACCATGGGATAGCAAACAATGGTGACTACTCAAACAAGGTTAGCAAGAACATGACACCACACCAGTGTGAGAAAGTTACTGTACTTCACATGACAAAGTTCACCTTTCCCACGGTAAAGTTTCTACTGTTGATTAATATCCCACTATTTAACTGAGGGACAAATGCCAACTACCATGAGAACAAATATTATATCAACATTTCAGATATAATTTAGATTACAGATTAATCAAGTCTCTAAACAGAAGAAAATAAAACTAAATGTTTGATCTTCATAATGGTCAAAGAAGCCAACTAAGTTGCTGTCATATGCACACTTAGACCACTTCCAAGATTTACACTTTATACATGTTAGCTTTAGAAAAAAATAACCCAAGGAATGTATACCACTATAACATTTCTTTCTCTATACACATAACAGAATAACAGACTCCAAGTTTCACTCATATATTTAAATCTTAACCTTTTCAGAAAACAATTTCATATTCTGCAAACCCTCTCCTCCAAAATATATGCAAGAGTACACTCAGTTTTCCAAATTCTAATAATGAATCCTGAATTTAAATTCACTCTGGGGGCTGAGGAAATAGTTTCAGTTTGGGGCCAGTCTGGGCCAACCCAGCAAGACCTCACCTCTTTTTTTTTTTTTTTTTAAGTTGTCTCAAAGCCAAACTTTATTTAAATGAGATTCTATTCTTTGGGGGGGGGGGGTTTCAAGACAGGGTTTCTCTATATTGCTTTGGAGGTTGTCCTTGAACTTGCTCTGTAGACCAGGCTGGCCTCGAACTCACAGAGATCCACCTGCCTCTGCCTCCCAAGTGCTGGGATTAAAGGTGTGCGCCACCAACATACAGCCAAGATTCTATTCTTTAAATATATCTTTTTTCATTTTTTATTGAGCTATATATTTTCCCCCACTTCTGTTCCCTCCTCCCCTCTCCCCTTCTACCCTATCCCCCCCTCCCAATTTACTCAAGTTTTAAGACCTCACCTCGTAATTAAAACAAATCCAAGCACATTTAAGAGGTCCCATTACATACCTTTACATTCTCTCCGGCTCCTTCCTGTTTCTGCTTCATACTGGAATTCATTTCTCAGCTGGAAACACACACACACACAAACAATTTAAAAACAGTATGGTTTGTATCTGAAGGTAGAGTCTGGACTTTGTTTTAATTATTTACACCACAAAAATATTACTACTTTATCATAGAACCACTATCTGATTGAATGACATGGTGCCCTGCACAAAATACAGAAATCTCAAAAGATCCCAGAAAGGGGCACCAGAAAAAGAAAAACAGGCACTTAATCACACTCAGATCTATCCTAAAGAATACCATCCTGCCTGTCATGGTGGCACATGATAATCCTGGAATGCAGTGGCAGAGACAGGAACATATCAAGTTGGAGATCAGCGTAGGCTACACAGCCAAGATCCTGTCTCCAAAAAAAAAATAAAATAAAATAAAATGCCAAGAACCTTGGCTGGGGATGTAGCTTAGTGGGTAGAGTGCATGACTAGCATGCTCAAAGGCTGGGCTCCATTCCTAGTACAGCATAAACCAGGCCTAGTGGCACAAGCGGTTGGGAAGCAGGAGAAACAGAATTCAAGGATATTCTCAGCTACATAGCAAACTTAAAACCGATACCCCTCTTACTTACATGTAATTAATAATTTGCATTGTGTTCTAGCACCCACACACAGTGTGGAGTTCTGCTATTTTCTACTCTATTTCATGTTAATAATATCGGAAACCCACTCGAAGGAATCTAGATGTTTCTTCTTTTCTGTTGAGACAGCTAAATAGGCAAAGCTGACCTAGAACCCCTGAACCTCCGGCCTCAGCCTCCTGAGTGCTTAAGATTGAGCGCTACCACGCCCAAGCTTCGGGCAATATTTCCCAAAATGCAGGTAATGGCCCAAGATCCTGTTATCATTCATTAGTCCGGAGGAGAGGACAGGGTCCGAGGAGAACCCACTGTCACCTACACCGGCATCAGTGGAATAGGAGACGCAGAATTCAATGCCCTTGTACCAGGAGCAGCATTTGCAGATGCCTGTGAGCTGTGGCCGGAGGGACCCAGCTCAGGCCCCAGTCACGCTCTTCCTGAGACTCAGCGGTCGCACACCTTCCCGGGCGAGCCAGCCCCGCCCAACTCGGCCTGCCCCAGCCAATAGGAAGCGCGAACGCCAGAGCGCGCCAAAACCGACCCCACCAATGGCGCAGTCCCTCATATCAGCTCCCCCAGCTTTGCCTAGCTGCGGAGCCGACACTAGGGGCCGAAACTCCGGTCTCTTCAAGCCGTCCCCTGTCCTGAACAGTTCCCCGCGGCTGTCAAGGCAGACCTAGCTTCGGGCTGAACGGGAGACACCGCTCCCGCGGTTGCGCTCACCCCGCCCCCGCGCCCTCGTACTCACCGACTACGGTGCTCCGTCCCCAGCGAGCCTAAGAGCGGGACGAACCCCTGGCAGCACGCCGGAGCCTACGGTGCCGGAACGACCCGAACCTGCGGACTGACCGGCCGACCGGGTAGCTGACGTATGGTGGCCGGGGCCTCGGCATCCAGCCAATCGCCTCTTGCCGCCGCCCACCGCGCCCGTGGACTCCGTGCGCCTGCGCAGTTGGCCACAGCTCCCGCAGTCTTGGGAGTTTTTCTTGGTTTAGGATTCTGTGCCTTCTGACCCTGTGTCGGAAGCTCAAAGCTTCAGTACTCTCCAGGTGTTGTCCTAGAGAGGACAAAGGACCTACTCACACTAGCAGCAAACGCGGAATGTAATATACATTTTTATAGGTATTTTATATATTTGTGTATTGGTTGTGGGGGTATTTAGTTTGTTTGGTTTGGTTTTTCGAGACAGGGTTTCTCTGTGGCTTTGGAAGCTATCCTGGAACTCGCTCGGTAGACCAAACCGGCCTTGAACTCACAGAGATCCTCCTGCCTCTGCCTCCAGAATGCTGGGATTAAAGGCGTGCACCACACCGCCCTGCTGCTAAAAGAAATTTTTCCTAAAGAATGTAATATGAATCTGAGGGCGTGATAGCTACCTGTAATCCCAATACTAGGGAGGCTGAGGCAGGAGGATCTCAGATTTGAAGTCAGCTTCAGATATGAAGGGAGACCCTATTTCAAAATGCCAGAAAGGAGACTCTAAAAGGACTAAGGAGATGGTTCAGCAGGTGAGTGCTTACTACCGAGACTGACCATGCGAGTTCCATCCCCAGGACCCACATGGTAAGAGAGAACTGACTCTTGCAGGTTGTCCTCTGATCTACACACACACACAAATAGGTGAATGTAAAAAAGAACAGAAAAGACATAAGGAACAGCTTCTACCCCTTCCACCTAAATGGTCTGAGATCCAGACCTTGGAGAAACTGCATACCCTGTGGGACTCCACCCAGGGAACTTTCTGGAAGAATAATAGACTGTAGAACTTGACAGTAACCTTTCAGGGTACCAGAGAAAGCTCTTCACAATGAGAATCTCAGAAGAAGCATTCTACAAACCTGCCCAGGGATTGGGTTGCCAGGAGCTGCTGGCTGCTGTAGCTGCTATACTGGTGTCAATCAATTGTGGTCCTTGTGCTCCACCAGGACAGAAAACAAAGAAGTTCTTTGGGTTCCAAGCTCTGGCAGCTTTTGTTTCCCTCAGTGCTTTGTAGCAGTTGAGCAGGGGGTGGCACAGCAGCAAGTGATAACCTATAGAGCTGCAGTTCCTACACAGACCTCAGGATCCAGAGCCTTTACCCTACAGGCACTACAGCTCTTGTGAGTTTAGGAAACTCAGTTGTAGCTGGCCTTACAGTTTCCATTTAGGACCATGTTTGGGGAGTCCTTAGTGATCAAATCTGGCCAATGTTAACAGCTGTTAGTCCAGGATCTGAAGCAGGAGAATCACTGCAAGTTCATGTCCTGGCTATCCACATATCAAGCATGTTAACACACATCTTTAATCTCAGCATTCAAGATGGTGGCAGACTGATCTCTGTGAGTTCGGGGACAGCCAGGGCTATGTGGAGACACCCTATCTCAAAGAAACAAACAAAAAGCCAGCTGCAGCTTGAGGAGCTGGAACTATTAGCTGTGAAGATGGTCATGTTGCTGTCTCCAGGCTTCAGTGGAGCTTGTGCTAGTATAAGAGCACTAGCTGTTTGAGTGACAGGCCTTTTGCTGAAATTGGCTTGGGTAGCAAGAGAGATACCAATAGCTGCCAATTAAGAAAGCAAGTTGCTCTGCCCTCCAACATTTTTGTTTGTTTATTTAGAGAAACATGAACATAAGGAATGTGTACAATGAGATCTTAAGGAGCTGTCATGAACACTACCAATGACTATAACCGATTTGGTGGTGGGTGAGTTACTAGAACTCCAGGCAAATGCTCAACCAGTGAGCTACATCTCCAGCCCAATGGGACTGTATATCTGTGTCTGTCCGTCTGCCCCTTGCTATGTAACTTGTAATCTTCCTACTCAGCCTCTTGAGTGCTACCATTACAGGTAGGCATCACCACATCAGGCCCAGTTTCAACAGTGTTTTGCCAGTGCTCACCACCTACCCAGTGCCCAAGGAGAGGAGAGTCCCTGGCATAGGTCACAGCTGTGGAAGCCTGGTGCATTTCAGAAGCAGGGAGCCAACCCCATCTGTTCCTGAATTGTCTCAGCTCTGCCCTCTACTGGCAAAATGTCACACTAGCAGCAAAGGGGGAAAAAGTTGAGAGCCATTTCTTTCTTTTTTAATTTGGTGCTCTCTCTCTCTCTCTCTCTCTCTCTCTCTCTCTCTCTCTCCCTCCCTCCCTCCCTCCCTCTCTCTCTCTCCCTCTTTCTCTTCCTCCTCTCTCTCCTTCCCTCCCCCCTCCTTCTTGGATGAGGCTGCCCTTTCCTTCTGTCTTGTGATTTCAGGACTCAAACTCAGGTGGTGAGATTTGGCAGTGAGTCCCGCCCAAACCATTTTTTAAAGACCAGCCCAAACTAAGGGCTTTGTAGCTGAAAAGCACAGATAGATCATGTAGCAGAGCTGTGACTGTTCCCTAGGTTCATTTTTATTCCTTTTCTTTTTCAATTTCGGTTTTTAGAGATAGGGCCTTGCTATATAGCCCCAGGTTGACCTCCAACTCTTGATCTGCCAGTCCCGGCCACCTGAGTGCTGGAATCATTGTCCCTCACCTACACACCTAGCCAGCTTTGGATTGATTACTTGTATTTTCTTGCACAAGTTTGTTAATCACTTCATTTTAATTTTCTCTCCAAAATGAAAATGAACAAAGTATCAATAAAGTTTTTAAAAATGCAAATGTTGACAGAGAGATGACTCAGGGTTAAGAACACTTCCAGAGGACGTGAGTTCTACTCCTGGCACCCACATAACAGCTCACAATTGTCTGTCACTCCAGCTCCAGGGGAAATGACACCCTCTTCTGCCCTCTGTAGACACTGTACATACTTCATGCAGAAACATACCCATACACATAAAATGAAAACAAATCTCAAAAAATTAAAAGTGCAAATGTCCTTTAAACATAGGAAATAGTATCTATGGTGGTTTGAATGTAATTGGCTCCCGTAAGCTCATAGGGAGTCGCACTATTAGGAAGTGTAGCTTTGTTGGAGTAGGTGTGACCTTGTTGGATGAAGTGTGTCATTGCGAAGATGAACTTTGAGGACTCATATGCTCAAGCCATGCCCAGTGTCTCAGTTCACTTCCTGTTGCCTTTAGATCAAAGATGTAGAATTCTCAGCTCCTCCTGCATGTCTGCCCGAATGCCACCATGTCCCACCATAATAATGAACTGAACCTCTGAAACTAAGTGAGCCAACCCAGTTAAATGCTTTCCTTCATAAGAGTGGCTGTGGTTATGGTGTCTATTCACAGTAATTGAAACACTAACAGTATCCTACATCATTTAAGAAAGAAAATTAGGAGCTTGGCATGGTGGTATAGATCTTTGATCTTAGCATAGTGGAGGCAAAGCCAGGTAGATCTATTAGTTAGAAGTCAGCCCGAGATCCAGGACAGCTAGGGCTACCCAGAGTGACCTGTCTGGAAAAGGAAAGAAAAACAAAAAAGAAAGACATCAAAAAGCAAGGAAAGAAAGACCCTGTATCAAAGAAAGAAAGAACAAAAGAAAGAGAGGGAGGGGGAGAGAGAGAGAGAGAGAGAGAGAGAGAGAGAGAGAGAGAGAGAGAGAGAGAGAGAGAGAGAGAGAGAGAGAGAGAGAGAGAGAGAGAGAGAGAGAGAGAAAGAAAGAAAGAAAGAAAGAAAGAAAGAAAGAAAGAAAGGAGCTTAGGTTGGAGAAATGGCTTGGGGGGTTAAGAGCATGTGCTACTCTAGCAAAGGACCCGAGTTTAATTCCCAGAACACACATTAGCTAGCTCACAATTGCCTGTAACTCCAAGTGAATCTGACACTTCTAGCCTCTAAGGGCACCTGAATTTACATGCACATACACATAATTAAAAACAAAAATGAATCTTAAAAATAAAATGAATTACACCATCCAGCTGTGGCAGCACCCAAGACCCAGAAAGCTGAGGCAGGAGGATTGTAAGAGCACAGACTGGCCTCATACTCCTCCTGCTTCAGCCTTCAGAAAATTGGGATGAGCTGTGTGTGTGTGTGTGTGTGTGTGTGTGTGTGTGAGAGAGAGAGAGAGAGAGAGAGAGAGAGAGAGAGAGATCAGGCCCAGGCTGGCCTTGCCCTATTCTCCTTCCTCAGCCTCCCAGGTGTTGGGATTATTTTTGTTGTGGTGCCAAGTAGACTAAGTTAACTTATATCTGCAAAGCAAGCAGAGAAATGTCTGGGTCTTCTCTGCTCTGCTCCTGGTGGTTTTCTTGCTGGTCCTGGTTCTTTCCTGGGGAATGAGACTGGCTCAGCTGATGCCCTTCAACTGCTTGCTGGCTTAATGGAGCTGAGCCTTTAAAAGTCAGATTTCCTGATTTCTGCCTTTGTTATTAACCCCTGCTAT